CGCAACCGTTAGGCGCTGGATCCGAAGCTATATGTAGCTATAGCTGGATCTCTCTGAATCCAAGCTGTTGCCGGCGATCCCAGCCAAATGCAATTAGTTGCAGCAACAAACTGCAGCTGCTGCAGTTGCAGTTTGCGGCTGCCGTGGAGCGAGGATGCAACTGCAGCAGCAACATGGGCAAAAGCCCGGCGGTCCGCTTTCCATTTGGCTAAGCAGCAGCCTAAATTCGAGCGTTCTGCAAATGATCTCTGGCAAAATATAATAAAGGAAGTTGGCGAAACACATTTATCCGTCTAATGATGTGATTCCACCCAGCTGGCTGAAGAAAAGCCGTCTTAAGTGCATCTTTCATTTATATGTGAATTCGATAGTTTACCTGGAAAACTGTATTTATTTGGCATTTAAATGGCAAAAGTGTTCTCTAATACTTTTCAGTTTCCTTTGGGCAGTTGTAAATAGATCACGATGGGCAAATTTCTATGCTTTTGGCAATTTTCACTTGAACAATAAGGGTCGCCTTTTCACCAAATTATAAAGAAATCCAAATAATTTTGTAGGCACTAAAATCCTTAGTTTTTCTACAAGTTATAAAAAATATAAATGAACATATAAAAGAAATAATAAATTATTAAATATAATTAATGTATAAAAATGTACTTTATAAATGCAATGATTTTAGACTAACCATTTAATTTCTATTATGATTTTTGAAAGTAAATGAGTTTTACTGTCCCTTTGTTTTCCTAAAACCCCATATAGAAATACACATTATATAGACAGCTAGCGTGGTGAACGAACGCAACTATCATTTTGGCCAGACAACAGCCAACAAAACTCGGTCTATTCGCAGCTCATGTGTTTCATTTGTATTTGAAATGCTCTTTTTTTTATATTTTATTTTTCACATTGTCATCGAACCGTGACGATGCGTTGCTGTTGTTGTTGTGATGTACCTGTACCTACATACAAAACTCTATAGGCAGGCAGTTAAAACCCCGCAGAAGCTGGTGATCTAAGTGTAGAACATGCGATAATGTTTATGGCCGTCCGTTCTCGGTTCGCATTTAGTACAAAAACTCGATAATATAGGGGTGAACATCGGGAGTCCGATCCCACAACTGGTGGATATGAGCGCCTGCATGACATCGAGGTTGTATCGAAACGGTAGCCCCGAAAAAAGGGATAATTAATTATGCCGCGGCTGCTGGTGACATTTTTCTTTTCACCTTACGATAAGGAAATGACGAGGCGCAAAACGCAGAAAATTTTCATGGGTTCCCCCAATAGAAACTGGCACAATATATATTGAGTATCTCGCCTGCGGAAGTTCTCGCTTGGAAAAGAACTAAATTTCCGCTTATGAAATTGTTTTTCCCATTTCTGTTGTCTAAGCATTTGTACATTTGTAGGGGTGTCTTCTGTGCCCCCTAGATGATATAGTTTTTCCACGAAAATGAGTCAGCTGAGCCAGCGTCGATCGCTTTCGGCCAATTGTGCAATTTTCTGATTTCGTTATTGTTTTTTTTAGCTGGCTTTCGTTGCGCGCTTTGTTGCAATCATTGGCAAAGACATTTGGCAAATTGCATTTGGGAAAGCTTTTTGGGGTACGGGAATATCACCAAACTTTCACCTTATGGTGGCTCAATCAGTCAATCCTGCAAATGGAGTTCTCTTCGCGCCAACGTTTCTCACTGCAATTAACAGTCTAATGAACTTTCACCGAAATTTACCAAACAGGAAAAATCATTTCCAGAACCTAACGGATGTGCAAAGCGGGGAAACTGGGACTGAGGTTCGGGTCAAAAGCAATTGGCCGCCCAGCAAGAACAACCAACACGAAAAAAGGGCCTAAAGCTTAATTTCAGATCAACACGGCAAAGAAAAAGAACAGAAGTCGGGTTAAGGTTCCACTGACCAGTCGTCGGGTTATCAAGAGTCAAGTCTCGACTTTTAAATACCCAGTATATTTTTTTGTATGTACTTTTATAAGATTAAATTAGATGGTGCATTTTATTAATAAATTAATTATTTATAAATTATTATTAACATATAAAAATATAAAATTCCCAAACTTATCTACCATCGAATATACCCTGGTATTCCAACATTGGCCAGTTACCTACCCTGTGGCAACCCAATGTAGAACCTTCATTTATTTTCGTAACGTAAAAACAGCCTACTTGTGGTACCGAAATACTAGAAATAATAATAATAACCCACATGTACCGGTATGTAAGACCATTTGACTTTAAGTGAAGTCATCAAAACAGGCCGGCATCAGCGACAAAACGAACCAAATTCTGTGAAACTTTGGCCACAGCCCCGGACATAAAACCCAAAAAAATAAAAATATTACGGAAAGAGGGAGGGAGACTTGAACCGTAAAGAGGATTTCTTAATTACTCAAAAAAAAGGGGGCGGAGAAGCGGCGGGGAGACAACAACAATCGCCGCGTTTAGGGTCGTTTCTTGTATTGGCCTCATCATAATTACAGAGCACTTCTTCTGTTTCTGATCCCAGGTCCAAGTCTGTTCATCAGGGCAATGATATGTGTCGCGCTCTATCGCAGCTCTAGTAGTCGGCAATTATTTTACGACCTAACTGAAACCAGAATAACCAACTCATAACTATTCAGGGCTCTCTTTTAGTTGTACAGTGTGTACACGGTGGGAAAAAGTCCTGAAGTAAAGTAAAATATCAATTAAATTGATAGATTTTGTTATTACTATCCGAAGTCATTATCATATTAATTGTATATAAGGAGTACCATAAAAGCTCCCATTCCTAAGAATGGTCAGTTTATTTGAACTAAAGTAAAACTGAATGAGTACCAAAAATTCATTCATCAAATTTCACTGGACTTCAATAAATTGATTTTTCGTGTAAAATTTCACAAATTTCGAATATTTTTTCCAGTATACTTTCGTATGAAATTCTGGTTACGGACGGCTGCCTTTGACAGATCTACGATAGCGAAATAAAAAAAGAGAGTTTTTCGACCGATTCCAGGCCGAGCCAAGTGTCGCACGTGTTTTCCTTCAGGGTGTTTGCCGCAAGTACTTCCAAGTCGTTATAGTTTTCCTCATTTTAATGGGGATCCACTAACCCAACCTCTGGGGGTACAGTTGAGTTTGGCGGAGGATGCAAGCGGAGCCAAATGTTTCATGCAACATATCAAACTCAACGGAGCAGAAAATCAAAAAAGTGCAAAAGGCAGAACACATCAACAGGTTGCCAAAGTCTGAGAGTGCAAAAGAGATGGCTTCAAATAGGGAGAGAGAGAGGGAGGGATAAAGATAGAGCTAGCGACCCTACAAGTATGATAATAATTTAGACTGTTATCTCTTAAAAGAGCCAACCAACATGCAATATGGTACGGATCTGAGTTCAGCTCCGCTGTAAAATGCAAACAGTTTTCCGCTGCCGTGAATGGAAAACCGAGGAAAAATTATGTGCTAAACACGCAGTCTGAATGAGTACAGTTAGCACAAAATATAAAGCAAATTCTTGGCTGATGCCTGCCTACACTAGGCAACCAAGTCCTTAATAAAAAGAGCATAGAATATTTTATAAGGTGTTTCAAAATATGAATCAAAAACTTCAAGGTATTTTATCAAAGTACACCTCAAGAAAACGTATATTATAAAATCTACAAAAATAATAACTCAAGCTAAGCTTTAAAACCTTTTACTAACCTGCTGACCAAAAGTAATTGTAATATTTTTTATAAGGTCGAAAACTTAACCTGCCAAATCAGCACTTAACATTCGTTAAATACTGTTTTAGTTGTTATATATTGATATACTTATTTATACTTATTTTCAACAATATGTGTTGAAAGATTTTCTATTCAGTTATATCTATAAACAAATATCTATCAGGTATACCAGAGACTTGCTGCCAGGTGTTGCGAAGTGGCGACGGCGCCTTGAACATAACTTCAATTAAAGTGCAATAACATCTCTATTATTGGCCAATGGCTGTATCAATAAGCGTCGTCCACTCGCTGAGATGACGTGAGATATGAAGCGCTCTAAAACAATAAAATTCTGAAATCAATTTCCACAATGTCCGACTCAAAGAAGCGGCAGTGATGCGTAAACGTGTTGAGGTTGAGGCCAATGGAGGGACCTGGGCTACCGGTTGAAGTTGAAGTCCATCGAAGTCGAAGTCGAAGTAGATGTCGATTCATGTTCCATCCTAGCCCGATCACACCTTAAATGGCGACTGGTAACTCGAGAGCCTGTGATTACCTGAGAAAGAAGCGAGAAATATTTATGAACCGATGGCCCCACCAGATCCTCATCAATGGAAGCGGCTGGCCAGCTGAATGGACTATCGCGGGGCCATCTAGGGGGAGTTCCTCTCACTCTATCGGCACTCCATCTCCAAAAGGCCACGGAAAAGCGCTGATGGATATTGCACAACAAAAAATGTAGTAGTATTAAAAAAAACATTTCATCCATTTAATTTTAAATATATTGTTTTAAGTGATTTAAAACCAATGGATTAAAAACGAAGACCATATGACCTAAAACGAATCAATACGAATATTTCATAGTTTCAATATGGAGTCAACATAGAATTTGGAATCACAAATATTTTTCTAGATCTAAATTCTAAATTATTTGAGTAAACTTTCCATTCTTTTAAAAAACATTTTCTTAGTTCGATTTTTCTGAGTACACCATTGCGTAGCAGGAAGCACGCTCCAAGTAACTTATGAAAATGTATAAAAAAGCGGGCAAAGATATAAAGCCAAGAAGTTGGAAATCTTGGGAGGGGTGTTCGGTGACCGAGCAACAACAGGTGTAATAATTGAAATCTGTTTTTCCACAAAACCCTAATCACGGTGAGTGAGCGCGCGAGCCAAGATATATTCTTTGGCAGATATTTTTCGGCCTGCGGTTACGGTTGGCGGTTGTCTAGGCATTAACTCAACCAGCAGCTGTAAAATTACAGCAAATGTTTAACCAACCCCTTCGGAGGAAATTGGGAAGATGGGGGCCTGTACCGGATGGTAGGTCTTAGGCATAGCGCATACGCCACTTGGTCCGCGGAGTCCTCCAGGAGACCGGGTCACCACAAGACCTTTCCCACGATCCCGCGACTCCTGACCTGCCTTAATTAGGCAGCCAGCCAAGCGTTTCCACATGTCGCACCCAGTGCCATTTGCAGCTCGTCTCCTTTTTTCCTCTTATATTTCCATTTTGGTGGATGACTTACGCATTACAAGTGAAGCAAATTAAAATTTACATATCAATCCCCGAAACCAGCAACCTGCGCCTCATGCTGATAATTATCTTTGCACACTATGGTCCCCTCTCTTTCTCCATTTCTCCACCTGTCTCTCTCTGTTTTTCTGTGCGGCTGGTAATTGAATTGGAGTGCAGCCGCGAAAAGGTCACAGACACTGCACATCGCAAGCGCAGTCAGCGAAAAAACGCAACACCAATCGGCAAAATCATGAGGTATTTGGAAATGGAACTAAAAATATATTTTTTGGGTGTTCTATTATTAATATTACTCTATTATAAACCAAAAATTAAATATTAAAACTATTTAATAAGTATGAAAATGATCTAAAATGTGAAAAGCTAAACATTTGAATATTGTTCAATAAATTAAATTTAAATACTTAAGTTCCTATATATTTTATTCACATGCATTTAATTTTATACGGCTAAAACAAAAACTATCTGACATCCCTTTGGAGTTAAACGGTATTAGTTATATGTATGTCATAGTCCATTCATAGGAGTTTTCTTTGACGATTGTTTATCTATTTGTATTATTATTTAATTATGTTTATTATTGTTTATTTATGTTTTTTATTTTTTATTAATTTGAGGTATTGTTTATTTATTTTTATTTACTTATTTGTATTACTTGTTCTATATTTCACAACTTTGGTAAAACAAGTAAAATTTAAGAGATTAACCTTATTTTAAATGGAGCAGTTTATTACATATATAAAACGTTTTTGGATAAATCGAGAAGAATTTATTTATATATTAGGAATATTTAGTAAATGTTTTCGTATCTTTAAAATTTTTGTAAAATCCATTTATGTATCTAATGGAACCATTTGCACTGTTTATAGTTAGATGATTTAAAGTATTATTTGTGATTGTTTAAAAATGACGCGTTCTGGGCAGTGTAATTAAAGCGAGTGCTCAACGCGTGAGATCATCCATGAATAAGGCAGAACCCGTAGCCATCGCCATCGTCATCGCCACTGCCATAACCCATAACCATGGATGTTGCTACTCCGGCTGCAGCCACCTGGGCGCACAAAATAATGCAAATTATCAGCTAGAAATTGCACGAGTGGTCAGGTGCATAATGAAGCAGCAGCTGGGGAAGATGAGCCAGAAGCCGCTGCTCGTCCATAATTGAGTTGCAAATGCTTTGGGTTGGGGTTGGTTGGGTCTTGGCTCTCAGCTCTTTTTGGCCATTGGTTCCCAGGCCAGCGGAAAACTTTTTAAACACTCCGTTTCATAGATAATCATCATAATTATCTGGCAAACAATAAATATAATATCTAGGCAAATTACAACAATTAGGCAGCTCCCGACTCACAGTTGGAGTTGAATAACACCCAAAAGTTGGTCCCAAAAACAAAAAAAAAAGAAACCATGCCAGGGGAAAGCAAATGATTGCTGGCTGCCTGTATTAATGTGTCCCTCCTTTCGGCTCACTGTACATTGTATGTAACACAATGGCTGGGTGGCCGCACAATAAACATGATTTTCACACGCGTTTCATTTTTTGGGCAGAGCACCCCACTCGCTCACAAATTAGGCAGAAAAACACTGGGGTCTAGAAAATTTAAAACGCGAGCAATGGTTTAAGCCACAGAAGGCCAAGATAATTAAGCTATAATATTAAATGTGTTTTAACAGTTCAAAAGCTACATTTAGTTCTCGACGAAATTTTTTCTGTATGCCACAATTCAAAAGGATTAAGATACACGATTTTTTATATAATACACAGTGCTATAATGTGCATTTCTGCGTCAGTGATTTTTAACTTCGCGCCTAATTTCGCAAGAAAAATAATTATTTCCAAAAAAGTACGGTCTGGGGAAATTTCTCCACCCTACGCTAAGGGTAAATTCGCACCTATTTTAAATACATATTTTTATATTTGACGAGCTGGCTAACGAACAGACTACCAGCAGCAGCAACAAATATAGGACGTCAACAAAAATGGTACGCTTGATCAGTGTAGCATATTTTCAGGCGTTAAACTCCCTACATTTTTCAGGTGACGAAATTTCCCCAGTTGTGTGGTGATTTTACCCCCCTGTGTGGTGAGATTGCCCCAGTATATTGGTTTTACATTTTATTTTTTTATAAATCACCAAGCTAATTAAAAAAATAGGGGAATGTCACATTTTAAAGCTTGGTGCTAACCGCATTCAACAATAAAAATAGAAATATGATAACGTGTCTCAAGATGGACAAAAAATAGCTTTGAAAAAATGCTGACGAAATTCCCCCACTCTCCCCTACAGCTTTCGAACTTACTTTTGGTTTCAGTCGACAGAATAAAATTGTTTAGGAAATTATAACAATAATAATTGGTCAACCTTAGAGATTTATTAACAACATTTTAATTCAGCTAAACAAATCTTCTAAAATCAAATTTTTTTATTTGTTTGCACTATAAGGGTCTAGTAAAATTCTAAATATACCTAATTTTGAAAGTAAAGGAAAGGACATATATTAAAAGAAAAATAAAATTAAATTACTTTCATCTTCAAATCAGCCCTTTAAAATATATCGCCCAATTTTGAAAACCAAATCGTGTCGATTTAACTACATTTATACATTGTTTTTGTACTTCTGGGTATTTCATGGCATTACAAACCTCGGATGGCAACAACTAAGCCCAATGCCTCCAAAAGCGGAAACTCATTGGCAACGCTTCGTTGCGTAAATTTCTCGACGCGACTTTTCGGCCAACAGGTTGGCAAAAAAAAAAAGAACAACAAAAAACACGTCAAATAAAACAAGAAGAAAGAAAACAAAAATCTGACGCCAAACCAAACCAAAACCGCCAGCAAAATGGCCGACAATAACAAAAGCCAAAACAAAAACTAAACAACAAAAAAAAAACTGAAAAATTTGTTTTAATATTTCAGTTACGCTTCGGCAAGCGACAACATCGCGATAGAGCCCCCGACTTTGACTTCTTGAAAAGTACCATATAGTACATATATGTATGTGGCGGGGGATGATACAGTGGAAAAGGGTAAATCACTGAGGAGCCCCACATACGATACTCGCCGATGGAGATCTCGTGCCAACCCAAACCACAGCCGTAGAAGACTCTACCAGGCCGAACCAACGAAATGGGGAACGAACACCTGAGCATTTCTTTATGGATCTTGAGCAGAAAACCTATCGCGGCGTAACGCCATTAAAATTAGTGCCGAGCTCAGCTGAACCAAACTTCGGAGAGAGAACTAGGGCCCGCTAAGATTCAGATAAAGAAACATATACAGATACACTATTGTAAAATTGTTAAGAAGAATACCGTACATTCAGTAAATATTTATAATTATATATTTTTTTTTATTACTAAAATTTTACTTATCGTGTTTATGAGCCGATCTTTAAAATTTAATATTGCCAAGCTCTTCAATTATAAATTTCTGTCAGAAAAAGAATATTATAATTTATATTACAAACAATTTTCTTTTAATTACTTTAATTATAAGTTACAATTTAAAACTCCTCGAATTACACCAAGATTAAATTAGTTTTAGTGTACTGATAGAGATATATACTTAGGGGTAACAGAACCATCAAATGGGGTTCCAGTCACGAACGCATATCGGTTATAGCTAGTCGGTTCTTAGCTTGGTTACGCTTCGTTGTCAGATACTAAGATGGCGTTGAATATTTCGGATATGTTCAGATCGGGTGGGAGGCCTATCCAGTCAGATGTAAAGCTCGGCAAGAGCTTCAGCCGGAATCCGATGTGGAAAAGGGCAGACGTTGACTCCCAGGTAATTAGAGTCGACAACAAAGACCATAATTACCTTGTAACTAGGAATTATGAAAAAATCATAAAAATAACTACACAAAAAAAATAGTGAAAAGAATGTAGTCTAGGGCCACCCAGTCACAGAGATCAGGCCTGAGCCACCTGACAGTAGTCAATCTTTAATGACTTTTATTCTTATTTTATATTTCAGTTTTTCCTCTTTACATTAGAAGATTTCCCATGATTGTGCCATTCCCATTCAGCACTCGCATCTTCTCTTTGGGTCAGGTCTAATCTCCGCCTTGATAATCTTGGCCCATCCAAGTCGATGTCTTGTCTGCCCATTCAGATCTCTAAGTGCGGTGCAATAAAAAGTCAGCCACTTGTGTGTACTTCCCTCCTCGTGTTTTACTTTTTTATTGTTTTCAAGTGCTTGGGAAGAATGCCAATTGCCTTTGGACATGGGACAATATTAACGGCATTGAGGTAGAAAAACACAGCTAAATGCCGAAAGGCTACCTTCTCTTCTAGCCAATGATTTTGCAATACTTTATGAGTACTTTACATCAATAATAAGGATAATAAGGCAGCTGTAGAAAATGACTTAATCAACGGAAAGAAAATGTTATAATTAAAATTTACCAATAATAACGTAGAAAGGTAACAGTTCCTATTTAAGCAAGTATTAATAACCGTCTTAAAAATTTTCAGAATATAGTAAACTTAAACGATACCCGTAGGGTATAGGGTGAAATCGGTCTAATCTTTTTTTTTAATTCAAAATAATAAAACATATCGATTAGATAGTTTAATTCCTTTTTGTATAAATTAATTAAGCACTTATTAAAGTTGATTTCTATGGCCATATATCAACTGATAAGGAATCACTTAAGACCTAGGGAAATCACCGGGGGTACTCAATAATATGAAAAGCTAGCAGAGAAAAGTTCAATTCTATTGATTTGACTATAGTCAACCCAATCGCCCCATTCCTTCTCGCAAAAGATTACATCTTATTATCAGCCCTCTTATCACCATTACGAGACTTGCAATTGTATAAAGTGGGAAACTAAATCAGTATACTTCGGACACCGCTGCTGAGTAGATCGCGAAAATATGCTGAAAACTATTTTTTACATCGGTTGTATAGCTCTTTTGCAAAGCTGCTTGGCTGAGACACCTGAATCATATCTTCTCAAAACCCATAGGTATTGCAATTCTGTAAAGAAGCTTAAGACCCTCTTTTAATTATTATAATAAATAATTAAATTTATTTCAGGGCTGTGAACCACTCCGGAGCTGAACCACTCCGAACCGGAGTGGTTCACTTTTTTTTAGAAAACGAACCGAACCGTAAACCGGAGCGCCGAATTTTTTTATAATTGAACCGGAACCAAACCGGAACTTTTTTTTTTTGATATTCGGTTCGATTCACGAAAAATTTATTTTGTGTGTTCGTGTTTTTTTATTCAACAGTGTGGGGGGTTTTCTGATCATATTAACATAGAGTTTATTTACTAAGGGAAATAAAAATGCGCCAATTTTTGTGGCTATGCAATGACTGCATCTTACTCAAACAATCTAATAATATATAACTATCATCTTCCAAAACTTTTCGCAGTATGCCCACATTAAAATTACATGATTAAAGCAAAGAGTATACTCTTTGCCTTAACTGGTAAACACTTTATAAATCATAAATCTAGTAACTTTACTTATAAGTCTTAATGTTATGGTACATATTTCAATGAAAATACATGGAAATAAATGTTGACTTTATTATTTCATTAAAAAAAATTTATTTTTTTGAACCCTGGTTCGAACCTGAACCCTGCTCCGGCTCATCATTGAACCGGTTCGCAAACCGGAACATTATCTGTCGATTAGGTTTGAACCCCGAACCGAACCCATGCAAAAATAATATGGGTTCACAGCCCTGATTTATTTGTTACACTTTGAATTTAATGTGCAGAAAACGGTTACTTAGGGACTCCCAAATAAAAAGTTTTTAATATCTATTTTTTTATTTTTGATAATTTTTTGTATATCTATAAGCAAAATGTCTTGCCTCCCACGAATATTAATGACTTTTGTTAATAATACAAAATCTCACATTACAGTCTTCCCTCGGACCTGAGTTTTATGCCAACCCTGGGCAATGGCCACCTGGGCTATACGGTTTTCGGAGATGCGATCTTCATGAACGGAGTCTACAACGGAGCCGGCGGAAATAGCAAGCGAGCTCGCATTCCCAACTGGCTAAATATCAGCACGGAAGTTTGCGATCGCTTCGGTTGCGCTACTGGTAACGATGTGGACATAAATGGAACCAGCTATGAGATGGATCTTCGGGATGGCTACTTCCGCGTTCTAACAACCTACAAAACACTGGGGATTTCGGTGGAGCAGAAAACCTATCCGCACAAGTTTTACAATCGTGCCTTGGTATATGAAGTGGTAGCCAACAGACTTTCCAGCCGAAATTCGAGAATTAACTGTGAGTAATATAAAAATAACAAAAATCTTTAGTATTTATTTAAAAATAAGGATATTTAACAATATACATATTCAAAGACGCTCAAATCGAATTTAATTTGAAATTTGAATCTATAAAATCTTTAAGTAATTCTTTAAACTAAATATTACGTTTGCGATGGACTTATATTTCCCTTATTGTAATTCATTTTATAATTTATATAATATTACTTCTTTTAGCTCCCAAGTTTCTGAAACTCACCCATTTTCCCGGCAACTACAGCGATGCCTTTGATTTTGTCGTTGTGAACAATGGCAGCTCCGCCAGTGGCGATTTTCGCACACTTCGAGGTCGCACAAAGATCCTTGAGCAAGAGAAGTTCCAACCAGATCCCCAGGAGATCTTTGTCCTCTTTAGTGAATCCTTGGAGGAGCCCCTAAAACTGCAGTGGCCCACATGGCAAGATCAGTTTACCCATAGAGTTATCATCACCATAGATAGAGAGGAAAGTGTTGCGCGAAAGGAACTGCAAGATGTGCTCCAGTTGAGCTCTAGAAATCTTCTCCAGAAGCACACCGAATCTTGGAACAGTTTCTGGGACAATGAGTTCTCGATTGAAATTCGTGGCGATGCTCTGGAACTGTCGCAGATTGTTAACGCAGGCATATTCTATTTGGTGAGTTCTCTGCCGTCAATCGAGACCAACCAGAAAAACGAACCCTTCTATGGCTTGAGTCCCACTGGCTTGGGGCGTGGCAATCTGGAGTCGGATTACCAGGGGCACAACTTCTGGGATACGGAGATCTGGATGCTGCCGATAGTCAGTCTATTTGGCTATGAGTATGCAAAACAAGTGATAGACTATCGCAGCAGAAAATTGGAGGCAGCTAAATACCATGCGAATTTGACTGGCTACAAGGGAGCCAGGTGAGAATTATAGTCTATTTAAAAGATATTTTATTATACGTTACTCGTAGGGTAAAAGGGTATATTGTATTCGTGAAAAAGTATGTAACAAAAGTATGTAAAACAAGAAAGGAAGCTACCTTCGGCCAGCCGAAGCTTATATACCCTTGTAGATAAAGTAATGCTTACTCGGTGCAGTTCCAGGAATTCCAATTTTGTTTTTAAGTAGTCAAGAATCAAAACGCCTACTTACTACAAAGTTACAATGAATTTTCTTATATTTGTTTGAATATTCCTATGGGAGCCTTAAGATATAGTGGTCCGATCCGGCTCGCTCTGACATATGTACAGTGAGTCACATTAATATTCGGTTTTTTTTTTTGTCAACTTCAGACGTGAATAAAAAGTTTGAAACTAATAAAACAAAAAATCAAATAATGCGGAAATAAAGCTTATTTTATTACCTTTTCATAGATATATATATGTTATTACTTTTTTTAAAATTTAACTGAGAAACATGCATAAACGAAAGAAAAGCCGAATATTGGGGTCACATTAATATTCGGTTTTCCCTTTTTGTACTAAAAATCAAAAAAATTATTTAGGAAATAAACTAAATTTGACATTTGAAATGCTAGCCATTATTGTCTATGGTATCGTTTAAATATTTTGGCATACTTAAAAATTTTTTTTTTGCCTATTCTGGGCCAGGTTTTCCAACCTAAAAAAAGGATGTACGGGATAATGTCAAATAAGTTTGCAAAGGTACAACAAATTCTCGATTTTTTTTTTTTAATTTATGGTTAAACCCCTAGCCTTTAACTAGAAATCAGTTTCAGCGCAATCCATTCATCACACCAAAAAAAATGGATGGGTACAAAAGCAGAGTCGCTCAGAAGAAGCGTTTTGCTGCTTGATTCCATACAAAACTTAAGGAAAAATGAATTTTCGAGCGACTCTGCTTTTGTACCCATCCATTTTTTTTGGTGTGATGAATGGATTGCGCTGAAACTGATTTCTAGTTAAAGGCTAGGGGTTTAACCATAAATTAAAAAAAAAAAATCGAGAATTTGTTGAACTTTTGACATTATCCCGTACATCCTTTTTTTAGGTTGGAAAAACTGGCCCAGAATAGGCAAAAAAAAAATTTTAAAGTATGCCAAAATATTTAAACGATAACATAGACAATAATGGCTAGCATTTCAAATGTCAAATTTAGTTTATTTCCTAAATAATTTTTTTGATTTTTAGTACAAAAGGGAAAACCGAATATTAATGTGGCCCCAATATTCGGCATTTCTTTCGTTTATGCATGTTTCTCAGTTAAATTTTAAAAAAAGTAATAACATATATATATCTATGAAAAGGTAATAAAATAAGCTTTATTTCTGCATTATTTGATATTTGTTTTATTAGTTTCAAACTTTTTATTCACGTTTGAAGTTGACAAAAAAAAAAACCGAATATTAATGTGACTCACTGTATGTACTACCTGCAGTAGAAAGAAGACTTTCGGGAAAGTTTTATCGCGATGGCTTTAAAACTGAGAGACTAGTTGGCATAGAAACGGACAGACGGACAGACGGACAGACGGACATGGCTAGATAGACTCGGCTATTGGTGCTGATCAAGAATATATATACTTTATGTGGTCGGAAACGTCTCCTTCACTGCGTTGCAAACATCTGGCTGAAATTATAATACCCTCTACAAGGGTATAAAAATATATATTCTTGATCAGAATCACTAGCCGGGTCGATGTAGCCATGTCCGTCTATCCGCCTGTTTGTCCGTATGAACGCTAAGATCTCGGAAACTACAAAAGCTAGAAAGTTTGGATTACCCACACATATTCTTAGGCTTCCTACGCAACGCAAGTTTGTTTCAGCTGAGCGCCACGCCCACTCTAATGCCCACAATCTCCTTTAAAATGTGACTGGCACCCCCATTCTTAAAAATTTTTGAAAAGCATAAAAGTAAATGTTGCTGTGCTTTTTTAAAATCTATCAAAGTGTAGAACAAAATTTTTCAAATTGGACTATTCATTAAAAAGTTAATGTCTCCCTCGCACTTTTCTAAGCTGACTAACGTGTATCTGACAATCGAGTTACTCAACTATAGCGTTTTCCTTTGTTTTATTTATATTTTCTTATTAGATTTCCCTGGGAAAGTGCCTACACTGGCACAGAGGTCACCAATCCCTGCTGCCCCGAAGTTTCGCAACAGGAGATTCACATATCCCCCGATATATCCTTTGCCCTGCAAAAGTTTTTCGCCCAATCAAACGATACCGTTTGGGCCTGCGATACAGCTTGGCCCATAGCCGCCGAAGTGGCCGACTTCCTGGTGAGTCGAGCCATTTGTGATGAATCCCAAAATGCGTGCCACTTCCTAAACGTGATGGGACCCGACGAGGATCATCCAGACGTGAATGATAATGTTTACACGAATGCGGTGTCCAAAATCGCACTGGATTTCGCCGAATGGTTGGGTCAAATGTGTGGTAATGCCAGCACCGAAAGGATTGAGAAATGGCGAGAGTTAAGCGATCGATTGGTGATTCTACGAGATGACAATCTGAACTATCATCCCCAGCACCAGGGTTATATTCCGAACACCATTGTCAAGCAGGCGGACACCATTCTACTCGGATATCCGTTGAATTTCGATACCAGGTGATTATCAAAGTTTGCGAGCTATAAATGATTTTGTAGATAATTCCATTTCCTTGCTCTATTAAAGCATCTTACACAATAATGACCTTGGATTTTATGCAAACGCCACCCGAGAATCGGGTCCTGCGATGACATGGTCCATGTTCGCTGCGAATTATCTTAGAATCCTTGAGATGAAGCCGGCCAACGAGTATTTCGAGCGTGGCTACAAGAGCTACGTGCGACCCGAGTTTAAAGTCTGGAGTGAAACTCCCCTCGGATACGAAGGATCCGCTAACTTCCTCACCGGCATTGGTGGCTTCCTGCAAGCCTTGATCTTCGGCTATGGTGGCCTGGATTTTGGCAGAACCAACGACGACCAGTTCTTGATGTATTTTGGTATTACTATGACGCCTCCAAATGTGGACGAAATCCATATCAGCTCTATTCCATACGGGAATGCCAAGTGTAGCTTGACCTACGGAAATCAGTCCTCCACAATATCGTGTTCAGATAGGTTAAGTAAGGGCTTCCAGATGATTCAAGATCAGAAGAAAACTCTGCTTGCCAAAACCTTTAATTGTAAGTAGAATATTTTATTTGGAAGATTTCCCTCTTAAGATGATTTACTTTTCAGTGACCCGTCGCAATGAAGATCCCCCAATTCAGATCAAGCATTTAAGATAAATCCAAAGTGTATTTTGAATAAATATCAAGAGAATTACATATTTAGGCCGGATGCATAATTGGGAGTTCTAATCTTAAGTATTTAGTACGCGGATTAGGAAGTATCTATTGCATTTGGTTATGGTTATCTGGGTAATTAAATCGCTTCTCTTTCCTCCTTCCTTCTATTTTTTTTACTTGAATTTGGCTATTGAGGAGCCGCTGACACCGGGCGCGTTTTTATTGCTGCCACTGAGCACTACGTAAGCGGTCTTGGTCTCCTTTTGCTTCTGCTGCAACATGGTCAGAGTTCCCAGTGGTGTATCAGTTGAACTCATGGTTTTCATTAACTGTAATGAAAGAATTTAGCTCTTAGTTTGTTTTAACCTTTTCGTTTAATGGTTTACTCACCCCATCCTGTTCCATTTTCTTCAGACGCTTTTCAATCTTATTCTTTCCCGGTCCCTTGCCGTGGAACTTGTGTGACAAGTAGCGGAAAGCCTCTTTGAGGTTCAATATGCGGCCATTGTCATCGATATAATCCAACTTAACATTCGGCTTGAAGGTCTCCTTGTCCTTGAAGTCTGTAATCGGTCCAAAGTGGAAGCGATCACGACGCCCAACCTTGTCGTCCTCACTGTAAAGATAAGAGAGCCAATAAAATACAAGTTTATCCTCCAGTTAATGTTTTTTTTAAACTTACCCAGCTGCTTTATCCTCAATGGAATAGTTTTTGGCCTGAAGATGGGCCATTTTGGTGTTGCTAGGCCTGTTCTTCTCCTCCTTTTCCAGGTATCCCTTCGACAGAGCCAGCCGCAAAGCATTCGCTACACCGGCTCCCACATCGGGCTCCTCGTCTAGAATGGCACGATCCTCCAGGTCTTCTCCCAGATTATCCAAATCCGCGGGCTGCATGACTTCATCTGGATTAACCGAATTCCAGGTCCCATGACTCAGGGCAGGCTCATCGTTATGCGTGTCCATGTGCTCCTCCGGCTGATCGGTCTTATCAAAGTCCATCATGTCGTTGGAGTCCTCGTTACGATTTCCGGCCATACCGTAGGTGGGAATGTCTCCCAAAGTGCGGCAAAACTCCGCTGTGGCATTCAATACGATATTGCCGTCCACTCCGGTAAGCACCACACCTGAACTGGTGTCCTCCACGGGTTCAGGCTTGATTTCCCGCTCAATACTCTCAAAGTCGACGGGCAGGGGTTTCTTGATGATACCCTCCTTTTGTTTTAGTTTGCGAGCCTTCGCTAAAACGCGTTCTAAATCGTCATCCTCTGCTTCCACCTTAACTTCCGGTTTAATCTCCATCTCTTCATCCTCGTGATCGCGATAACGTCCACCGCGACTACCAAAATTGGAGGTTCCAGACGTTCCCGCCTCCACCAAAGGCTCAAGATCCTCGGCTTTTAGTTTTTGGCGAAGCTTCTTGACTTTTTTCTTTGGCTTCTTGAACCTGCAAGTAAATACGTGTTATTTAAAAAATATAAGATATTAACAAAGAAGTTATAAACTTACTTGGCCAACTCCTCTGTACTGTATGTGTCCGATGCCAGCTGCAGATTGGTATCCTCCAGCGTTTCCAATCGTTTTCCGGCCAACTTGGTTTTAATCTCCAGTAGCTTGCGCCTGTGCTCCCGCTCCTCATCCATATTCTCGCCAATCACGAAATTCTTTCGTTTTTTCGGCTGCCCGTCGATATCATCATCATACTTCTCCAGCACCGAACGCTCGATGGGATTGCCCAGCTCGTCGTACTGCTCCTCGTACACATTGTAGCCATAACTGAGCGGATTCTGCTTCTTGTTGGCCACATTCTTCTTGTAGCGCTCTTCGTCGACCATGTTGACATTGACTAGAGTATCGCCCTCCTCCTCGTTCAGCACATCTTGATCCTTGAGTGTTAGGATGACGGTGCGTCCTTCACCGAAATCATCCATGTCGTGATCGACTCGTAGACCCTTCAGATTGCCATCGCCATAGGCTCGCTGGCGGGCTTTGGTTTTCTCCTGCTCGAGCAGCTCCGAAACACCAAAGGCCTCATCCAGTTCCTCTAGCTCTTTGGCCTGCGGAAGAGGAAAATATTATTAATTCCCAATAGTATAAATTAAGAGGTGTATAAGTAACTACCTTACGCTTGGCTTCTTCACGCTCGTTGACCACTCGCTTGTTCTTGTCCACCCACTTGGCTACATTATCCGTTTCCTCGTCCGATTCGCCCAGCGTTTTAATGCGAGCCAGACGCTCCTCCAGGAAACGCTTCTCCTTGCGCTGCTTGAGCTTCTCGCGCAGCTTCTCCGCCTGCTTCTTCTCCTTTAGATTGTCCGCCGGCTTGTGCAGGAACTCGCCCCACTCATCCTTGTATGAGGAGAGATCAGCCTCGCCAGAGGATTTCTTCGCCTCGGTCTGGCTTTTGTCTGCTGCCGGCGGCGGCACCTTGCTCGGTCCACTGTCCACTTCGAGTGGCTTCAGGCCCAGCTTGGCGCGAAGCTTGTTGGTTTCCGTGATGGAGAGTACATCGCCGGCTCCGTTTTCGGGTATGGGCGAGAAGGAACGTGAGGAGGGTTTGCGTGATCCCGCCTGTGGGGATTGGGATCTGGAGCGCTCCCGCTGGCGTTCCCGTTCGCGCTCTCTGCCCGATCTCTTGCGAGCCTCGCGCTCCCTTTCGATCTCGCGCTCTCGCCGGGAATCGTACTCGGCATGCCTGGAGATTTGGGGCGGTGGAGGAGCGGTGAGCTCTCGTTCCCTTTCCCTTTCGCGTTCCCTTTCACGCTCCTTGAGGCGCTCCTTCTCGCGCTCCTTGAGCCGCTCCTTCTCCCGCTCCCGCTCGCGTTCCTCCCGCACCCGCAGCCGCTCCTTTTCCCGCTCCCTCTCGCGCTCCTTTTCCCGATCCCTGTCGCGTTCCCGCTCACGTTCCCGCTCTCGTTCACGTTCCTTTTCCCTTAGAAGTTCACGCTCGCGTCCAGAATCCCGCTCCCTCACCTGCTTGGCCTGCTCCTGCACGGGAACCTCCACGCAGTCGGAACCTGCAAATAGGGAACACCGGTTAGAACTGTCTAATCATCAGCAGCGGGGCAATCGCTTCAATCGCTTTAACCACTTCGGCACTCGCCCACTCACAATCTGCTCCAGCAGGGGAACATACACATCTGGAAGAAAAGGAGAAGCGCGGAGAAACGCAACGATGGCTTTAGTATGTCCGGGAAAGGGAAAAGTGCAGGACCAAGGCAATTGCCGGGCATTCGGGCGGTCCGTCAATCAGATTATCGCTTTTCCGCCGGATCCGCCGCCAGCGGCAGTTGCCCTTGAGCCTGGCCTGCACTCGATTGCAATAGCGGGGCAAACACTTACTGTCCGAGTCCGATTCCTCCAGGGAGATGACCTCGCTGGGCCGCTCGCGCTCCTTGTGCTTGTGGTGCTTGTGGCGGTGCTCCTTGTGCTCCTTGTGCTTCTTGTGCTTGTGGTGTCTGTGACGCGACGAGGAGTCGTCTGTGAGGTCCAGGGTCACATCCTCGTCCTCAGTGGTTCGTCTTTGGCGCTCCGGCGACCGCGACCGATGCCGGTTCTTCTTGTCCTTCTTGTGCTTCTTTCCGGACGACGAGGAACCCATTTTTTTTATTTTTTCCAACAATTTAAAGAAAATTTCACAATTTTTTATGGACGACGCCGGTGTGACCGTAAGCGGGAAGCGGAAATATACCAGGCATGCGCAAAAATACCAAAAAATACTTCTTGGCCATTTGCCATTCACAACCAGAGGCGTAATAAGGGGGTCAGCAAATAAATTTTAAATAATCACGACAAATAATATTTTTCGTTTTTTACATTTATAAAAGTAAATGTGAAAATTTAGGTCTAATTTTAGAGAAATTTACATATGATTTATATAAACAAAAATAAGCAAAAATACATAAATTTTTAAAGTTAATTCTTGCTCTTCTCATTTCACCATTCACCACGCACATAATAACAAATAACCACGCGGAGATCGCAACATAAACAATGGAACTAAGTAAAGTAAGTAAAACAAACTATTTAAAAATCCATACTATATTCATTTTGAACCCCCAGAAGTCAAAGAAATCGAAGAACGCCAAGAAGTCGAAGGCTCCCAAGGACTCGGCCGTTTCGCTTAAATTGACGGCTCTACATCGCAAGCAAAAGGAAGTGGCCCGCGTGCTGACCCTCAAACAGGAAATCCTTTTAAGATCTGGGGTGTCCTATTTGGAGTACCTGGAAATCAGGGCAGAGATTGAGCGACTAAATGGCGTGAAGGAGACTTTTTCGCGTCGTGCCGACAAATTGAAACAACAAGACAAATAGTTTATAGATCGATTTATTTTAAGAAAACAATAGAAATGTAATGAAATCAGTCTGAAATATGTATGTAATGTTGAAAAATCTTGTATGCAATATAAGCTGTAACAAAATGGTTTTTAGTTTTTTAATAATCATGAAAATGTCTTATAAAAGGAATGGCGGGCAATAACTTCAAATTTTCTTTTTAGTCGTGTCGGTTTTAAATTTATTAAATACAGACTAATAAGTATAACAATGCAATATACAATGGAATATGGAGCCAATTATGTTTTTGAAAAGTAGTAATCATAGATTTTACATATTTTTTTAATTCTAATAATTTTCAATAGTAGTAACAACAATATTTAAACAGTCATAATTAATTCTAATGTGACAATCACAGATTTCACAAGCTGTTTCTAAATTCGTTTTAGATTTAAATGGTACTAAAATATAATGAAATACAGAATATAATGAAAATAGTCAAAACTTAAAATTATTTTTGATTTCAGGTATTATTGTTTCGTTAACTATTTTTTGGTAGTTATTTATCCATTTCGTTTCGGGAGATTCTTAAGCTTATTAAACTTATAAAGTTAATATATTACCAAATATATTTTATCAGGAAGTTTAAAGGCACTGTTTGGTTAAGATGAGCCTTTTGATGGGGATGATTGGTGCTCTATTCGGTCTGGATTACTTGGTTCTCGTTCTTCTCGAAGGCCTTCCACATGCGGTTGAACTCCGACTGGAGCATGAAGCCCAGCTTCTCGTCATGGGTAATGACGCAGGCCTCCCAATTGCCGCCGAATCCCTGGCGTGTCCAGTTGACGGAGCCGATGACTGCGATGCTGTAACTTGGTCGCATCCATGTGCGTTTCCTCAGCTTCCGAATCTCCTCGACGCGCTCCACGCCATCGATTACGCAGAACTTGTTGTGCATCATGTACGTGGTGATGGGCACGCGCACCGGGACGCCAAAGCGGGCCAGCATAGTGATCTGGGATCCGCCAGAGTAGACCATCTCGCCGTCGCTGATGATCCGGATGGTTACGCCGCGCTGCAGAGCCCGCTTCATGGCTTCCGCCAGAATGATCGAGGTGAAGGTGTAAATGGCCAGGTCAATGGAGTACTCCGCCCGGTCGATCTGCTCCACGATCCTGCCCACATTCCTCAGGGTGCAGTACTTGTTCCGGCAATGAAACACCACCGGTTCCGGTGATCCCGGCCTGCAATTCCGGAGATGCTGGGCGGCACAAATCTCGCCCAGCTCATTGAAGCACACCACTTCGTGCACGCGGCTAGCCTTCTCCCGCTTGGCGCGAAAGTACAGAACCGCCTTCCATATAACCTCGGAAGCTAGAACCGCGCCTACGGCAATGCCAATGGTGGCTGCAACGGGATGATCTCGGATCTGTGCCATAATTAATTGGGAATACAACATTTTCGCAGAATATCCTTTTTTTCAAATAGACAGCTTAGAGTGACCATAAATGTGCAACTCTGATCTTGGGGTTATTATATCTCTACTAGCCTCTGGTCACTTTTATTTAGTGGCGTTGCCATATCGCAGCCATGCGCTTGCCCATTCGAATTAAACAATCAACTTGTGGACAATCTTAGCATTTTACCTCCTAAATGGAAGATGCATCCACCACGCTCTTGCCCGGAGAATCGGAAGATCTGCGGGAGGCGCGCGACACGGAGCTGAAGAAGGTGCTCAAACTGAAATTGGTTTTAGACGAGCTGCGTCGCCTGGATTTGGGGCCAAATCCGAGTGCGGAAATTAAGAGAGCCCTCAAATTGGTTTCCATCGGCAGTCATGCGCGACTGGGCGAGATCGAGGTCGGTGGTCACGAGCAAGTGCTGGGTAAGAGGACTACAGAGTCCCCCCAAAAAAGCAGTGATTAATTTGGTAACCCATTATCCCACAGGCTTGCAGAATGGCAGCAGTTATCCGCCCTTGAGTTACACGGATCGCAAGACGGTGCGCACCAAACTATCCGCTCAGCTGCGTTCCACTTTGAAACCCATTGCCGAACTGGGCGACAAGATGCGCGAGGAGTTTCCGGACGCCTTCGGTGGTCAGGAGACAGACTTAACTCGCGACCAAAAGGAGATCCTGCGGCTGGAGGAGGAGCAACGCAGCGGACTGCAGCAACTGGTGACGCTTCTAGGTCGCAAATGCTCCCTGCTGAAGGACTCTGCCGAACTGAAACTGGGACCGCAAATGGCAAACGAACTGAAATTACAACAGGCGCAGGCGCAACTTGTTCAACTAAAAGCGGAGGTACTGCGCGATTACTTGGTCCACGAATCCGCCTCACGCACCGATAACAGCGTCAAGGCGCACAAGGAGGTGGAGGCGCACCTGGACGAGCTGCTCGCCGCCCAGAAATAAATTAGGAAAACTATAACTATGTAAATTAGGTTTAAATATATTACAATTGTTAGTCAAACAGGGTTATTTTCTGCCAGCAGGGTGGCAACTCCATCGTTACATGGTATTTTCTTACAACGGTCACACTGTTGGAAAAACAGTTTGTTTTTTTTTTTTTTTGTGGGAAAATATTTAAAGTAAACAAAAGAAGCTTTCAATGACAGAAACGAATCCTGTTGAGATGATGGCCACGCCCAGTGAGGAGCCACCCGCCGAGGAGGAATCCCTGGACCAATCTCCGCCAGAGGCCGTGCTGAGCAATAACTCCTCGAGTGCCGGCAATGTTTTGGAGCCGGATGATGAGCTCGAAGTGAATTCCGTGGATCGGGATGACTCCGCCAGCTTGTTCAGCACAACTACGACCACCACCAGGAGCAAATCGCCCAACACACGGAAACTAAACCGCCTGTGCCGTCGCGTTAAGGCTCCAAAAATGGTCCAGCCGCTGTACAAGTACAGGTGGGATTCCCTAAGGGTTACATAGGTTTCTAAGAATTAATCTCTGGATAACTTGCAGCTCTCATGTCCGCGAGGACCATAACCACCAGATCTTCGGGGTGCAGTTCAATCCGTTTCTGGACAGAGGTCAGCCCCAGGTTTTCGCCACCGTTGGCAAGGATCGGGTGTCCATATACGAGTGCGAGAGGAGCAACGGCGACGAGTCCTGCGAAGGCATCCGCCTGCTGCAGGTCTACGCAGATCCCGATGTAGGTACTCCAGAAATATACTCGATAGTAAGAAAGGTTTAATTTTAAATTAGAATTTAACTATTATTGTTCTTTATTTATTTCGCTAAAATTACAATGATATTGTTAAAATTTAAGAGAATAATTCTGTTTATTATATCGTTTATAATCTTATCATTTTAAAATTCTATTATCCATATGTTGATCATTTACCTACATATTTATATTCATCTAACTTACCTATTTTTCCTCTCCTTTTAGACCGATGAAAGTTTTTTAATTTTTGATTAGGATTTAACTATCATTGCTCTCTATTTATTTCGCTTAAATTACACATTGTTGTTAATGATATTCTAAGAATTTTAAGGGAACAGTTATGTTTATTATATCCTTCATAATCCTATCATTTTAAAATTATATTATCCATATATTGGTCATTTACCTACATATTTATAATTTTGGATTAGAATATCATATTTATTTATTTCGCTAAAATTATAAATTGTTTTTTAATGGCATTGTTAAAATGTAAGAGAATAATTATGTTTATTATATCGTTCATATTCTTATCATTTTAAAATTCTTGTATCCATATATTGGTAATTTACCTACATATTTATATTTATCTAACTTACCTATTTTTCCTTCTCTTTTAGACCGATGAAAGTTTTTTAATTTTGGATTAGAATTTTACTATTATTGTGCTTATTTATTTCGCTAAAATTAACCATTGTTTTTAATGATATTCTAAAAAATTTAAAATAATAATTCTGTTTATAATATCGTTCATAATCTTACCATTTTAAAATTCTATTATCCATATGTTGATCATTTACCTACATATTTATATTCATCCAACTTACCTATTTTTCCTCCTCTCTTAGACCGATGAAAGTTTTTACACTTGTGCTTGGTCCTACGACTCTGAGACGGGCGATCCTGTCCTGGCCGCGGCTGGTTACCGCGGGGTCATCCGGATCTTCAATCCCGTGAAGCACCAATGCAGCAAGAATTACATTGGCCACGGACACGCCATCAATGAGCTCAAGTTTCATCCGGTTAGGCCGCAGCTACTCCTGTCCGGCAGCAAGGATCACTCGTTGCGGCTGTGGAACATCCAGTCGGATGTGTGTGTGGCTGTCTTCGGAGGAGTCGAAGGACATCGCGACGAAGTGCTGTCCGTTGACTTTGATTTGCGAGGCGATCGCATCATGTCTAGTGGTATGGATCACTCGCTAAAGCTGTGGCGCTTGGACAAGCCGGACATAAAAGAGGCCATCGAGCTGAGCTCTGGTTTTAGCCCCAACAAGAACACGGCTCCCTTCCCCACCATCAAGGAGCACTTTCCGGACTTTTCAACGCGGGATATACACCGCAACTATGTGGATTGCGTTCAGTGGTTCGGGGACTTTGTCTTCTCGAAATCCTGCGAGAACTCAATTGTGTGCTGGAAGCCGGGCAAACTTTCAGCCCCTTGGCACGAGATCAAGCCGCAGGAGTCGGCAACCACGGTGCTTCATCATTTCGACTACAAGATGTGCGAGATTTGGTTTGTGCGCTTCGCCTTTAACGCCTGGCAAAAGATTCTCGCGCTGGGCAACCAACAGGGCACAACATTCGTCTGGGAACTGGACTGTAACGATCCCAATTTGACCAAGTGCAGCCAGCTGGTTCATCCCAAGAGCAACTCCACCATCCGACAAACGTCGTTCTCCAAAGACGGGTCAATTTTGGTCTGCGTGTGCGATGATAGCACCGTTTGGCGTTGGGATCGCGTCAATTAGGCAACCGAAGATATATTTTATGTTAATAATGTTTCTTTTGATAAGAAACACGACTAAAGATCTTCAAATAGGTTACATAATTTATTGGACGAAGACTTTTTTAATAGGATTTTAACTTATATATATGTGCACAGAATGTACACAAGACTTGTACTTTAATTTAAGTTTTTTTATTTTTACAATTTTCTTTTAAAGTGATCAAATCACGAGGAATATATTTAAATTTTGTGACTGGTGTGGGCTCACCTATTTATATTCTGCATTTTAATTTATTAACCTATGTTATAAGAAGTTCAATGCTATAAATATTTTGTTAGACTATTTTATTTAAAGTGTATATTTTAATATTTGTAATCTTTCAAATAATATAAACCAAAATGTCCGTTATGTGTTTTTTTTAGAAGGATAAATTGCATGTTTTGTTATTTTTTAAAAGTCTTTTAAATGAAATGAAAGTTAAACATTTCTATAACACATTCTGAATGAATTTTTATAGGAAGTTTTAGAACGAAAACAAGAAAGGAAGCTCCCTTCGGCCAGCCGAAGCTTATATACCCTTGCAGATAAAGTAATGCTCACTCGGTGCAGTTAGATAGACTCGGCTATTGGTGCTGATCAAGAATATATATACTTTATGTGGTCGGAAACGTCTCCTTCACTGCGTTGCAAACATCTGACTGAAACTATAATACCCTCTACAAGGGTATAAAAATCGGTAAGAAAAGCTTTTCAAAATCAATTCGTGTTGTAAAGCTGATTTCTTCCATCTCTATGCGGTACAAATTTAAAACGGTAAAGAGATAGAAAAAATATAATCTCATCAAGCTGCTTTTTAATAATTGTAATAGTGACTGTAATAATTGTATAATGTATTTGTCATACCTATTGCTGCTGTTGAGTGTCCATGCCTTTGTGTCACCCGATATAATACAAGGAAACACTAACTATTCAGAAATGTTAGAATTGCACATGGAGTCCTGCTTGGACCTGAAAAAACTAAACCACATGCCCAATCTGCATACACTGAAATTGGATTACTGCGACATCGAAACTTTTAGCATGGACTATCTGGTTCCAGTACCACAGCTAACTGCCCTTGAGATCCGACGTGGGAATCTTTTGTTGCTGCACGATAAACACTTTGCCAGGTGGCCCAATATGAAAATCCTTCAGTTGGGAGGGAACTTCATAACTAAAGTAACCAATGAATCCTTCAAAGGTATACCGCAGCTCTGGTTGCTAGCTTTGCCGGGAAATGGTATTGAGTTTTTGCCCCAGGGTGTATTCCATGATCTACCCGAGCTACTGCACCTTGACCTCAGTGGAAATAAGATTATGAACCTTCAGGAAAACACATTTGCTGGAAACCGTAAGCTTCAGATGCTGCTACTCAATAGGAATCCCTTGACGAGAATACCGCCAACGGTTCTGGGATCTCTAAGGAATCTACTTCTTTTGGACCTGAACAACGCTGGACCTCTGCAGAATCTCACACTGCCAAGTGCTCATACCATAATCCTGGACAAGATCGGTTTGAAGTATCTGGATATTAAGGGCAGTGTTATAAAACTCCAAGCGAGGTCCAACCAGCTAATCAATATAAAATTTGCTGACAAGAGCTCTATAATCGAGCTAGATCTAAATAACAATTCATTGACGACTTCTGATATCCAAGGAGTTCTTAAAGGCATGTGGAGACTTCAAGGCCTGGACCTTTCCGAAAACCTCATAGATAACTTTACTGCAGCGAGTGTCAATTCAAGTGAGCTCTTGTTGCTGCCCAATCTTATGTACTTGAACCTTTCGGGAAATCTTCTGGAGCACCTACACAATAATTCTTTATTGCCATGGACAAGGCTTACCCATTTGGACTTGGCGTACAATAGAATGAAAAACTTACCAGAATTTGGTATACAGGACGTTTTTAATCTTCGAAGCTTGAACTTAGTGGGAAATTTATTTAATAATGATAGTGAAATCAAGAAAAGAGCACGGGAAGTTTATACGATTCTCAGAGTAGCTGGTGTGCAAATTATGATTAATATGAAAATATTTGATGATGACACATTGGATTCCGCCAGTCCTTGGACTCTCTTATTCTGTATTTTCTTTTTTATTTCTTTCTTGGCGAACTTATTTTTTGTGGGGCAACTCTGCTATAATAGGGATAGACAAATCGTGCCGGTGGCAACAACAATGGAAACAATAGCTATGAACCAAGTTGATCCTGACGACGAGTTTTTTGATTAACCGATAAACACTATATGTTTTGTTTTTAAAATTTAAAATTCATCTAACAATGGTGCATTCAAAAATACAGTACCGAATACTCGATTACACGTTTTCAAGGTTTTTTTATTGGAGGTTAGAATTGGACAACCACTTTATTTTTTAATTAAAAAATTTTATTTTAAGATTCGGTAAAGATCTTAAAATTAAAAAAAAAAATGTAAAATGTCTTCAAATTTTTAAATATTTATGTAGATCTACTGAATGCAACTATAAATTCATGCAAAAACATGACAATTCTTTATTTATTCCACATCACCATAATTACATTCAAAAAGTTCTTTGCAAATATTTAAGTAAGAAAATTTTTTATATAATTTCATATTCTAATACCGTTAATTTGTAGGAATACCCTACATATGGGCACTTCCAAAATGTCGCTCGGGACATTTGCACACCTTTAAAGTTGAAAAAAAATTGTAAAACATTGGATTCTAATTTTAATTATGGGCTTTTCTTTTCACTCTTCCCAAGCTCTATTTTTGGTAAAAATCTTAATTTTGTACCACTTTTAGTTTTTAAGATATCGGTAAAAAACTGCCGTATTCGCTCGGGACAAAAATAGAAGTGGATTTCGGGGAAGTTCATACAACACCAGAAATTAGCAAATTCTGATGAAATATTTGAATGCGATTTTTTTAGAATGTTGTTCAAACATGTCGCTGTGAAATGCTTTTGGTTTTACTCAAAAATTCTTTGCCGTTTTTTTTTTATGCAGTTTCAACCACATTCGCTCGGGACATGTCGCTCGGGACATTTTTTCCGACTGTTTTGTAAAGCGGATTTCTTTACCTCTATCTCTCAATTGCTGGATGTTTTGCTTTTAACTTTATAGTTTAGCATGTGAATGAAGCATTCAGTACAGAAAAATGTCACATATTAGCATTCCTATAGGATAAATTTACAACAGAAGACAGGTCCAAAAAATAACAAAAAAATAGCCAAAAACTGATTTTTGCGTATATTGGTGGGGTTTGTCATAAAAATAATCAAGCTATACTCCAAATTTGTAGTTAAGCTCAGTATCCAACTAATTAGAAACTAATATCGGGGCAAAATCATGTGGAAATATGTTTTATTCAAGTTTCAAGGTTTTTGGCTTGGTGGACTTTTTTTTGGAAGTGCCCATATACAATTAATTATGACTAATTTAACTTGAACCGGTTTTGGTATTTCAAGCACTTAGCTAAACGGTCACTCTGAACAGCTGCTAAAATTTGTTTTCATTGCAAAATCCTGTAATTTTCTGTTTATCCACGATTGATTGGCCGTAAAATGCTGACCGACCGAGTGCTGGCCACCAAGGAGGCGCTAGTGGTGGCCCTGGGCGACAACTGGGAGCGCTACCGGGCCAACATGAAGAACTGGTTCCGCAGCCGCTGGACCAAGGAGGAGTTCGATGCGGAGTCGCGAAAGATCCTCTCGCCGGACAAACTGCATCTGCACAACCAGTTCCTGCTGGCGCTGCTCAACAAGATCGATGCCTTCTCTCCGGTGGACAATCCGCCGGCTGTGCAAAACAGCAGCAGTGGTGGCGGCAACCGGAGCAAGCGGCGCAAGCGAAGCTCTCGCACCTTCGCCGAGCGTCTGAACTTTGAACTCTGCGAGGTCCTGGACTTTGTGGCCGAGGACAATATGCAGGTCATCCGGCCACCGCCCGCCATCAGTGGAGCCTCGGAGCAGCAGCAGCAGCTGCAGTCACAGCGCTACTGCGCCCAGGAGCTCTTCCTGCCCGATGCGGGCTTCATAATGGGACGCTTTCTGATTGGCGCCTGGGAAATCGGACTCGTGTCCGTGGATGACAACGTCGCCGAGTACGTGGCCATGGCCGTGCAGGTGCTGCTCAAGGATCTGCTGTCTGCGATCATCAAGAAGCGTAAGCATTACAAGACCAGCGGCGAGGGAAACTTCTACTACGATGTGGGTGCTCCGCTAAGGGATCCATCGCTGCGCAACACCGTCACCCGGCAGAAAGTGGACGACACGCCGCTGGAGCTGGACAAGGAGCTGAATACGGCCAACTTTATGCGGCGACAGAACGACGATGTGACCTTTTTGTCAGCCTGCGAAGAAGTGTAAGGATTGCTCTTTATCAGGGACCGAAAAAAATATAATATTGCAAATTTTTCTTACAACTTAAAAAAGTCCTAAAATTTTTTTAAATACACCACTATTTTTATTAGCCATTGTAGTTTACAAATCCGTAATGATTTTAATTTTTTGATTTTTATGTATAATAGTTATTTCCTTTGCATTAAAAAAATAATAATAATTAAGAAAAACATGCTAACCGTGTTGCAGATAACTTACTAAAAATCTTTTAAAGAAGGCAACAGCGCATGTTGTATAACTATTTTTAAAAATTTATTTTACCCACAAAATCACCATAAATCAATTTTAAGTTTTATTCTTAATCACGACGAATAACTGTTGTGTCAACTTTTATTGTAAAACTCAAAAAAATAACCGTTATTCTTTGAGTTTTACTTTACAAATCAGAAAATAACTGTTATGGCCGTTTTCTCGTCTGTCTGTTAAATTTAAAGAAAGGTAAAAACTCTGATTTCCCATACAATTACAAGGTTTTAACCCTACCTTAAGTTTAACAAACGGGCATGAAAACGGCCCTTAAAATACTATTTATAAAATAAAACATATAACAGTTAGGGTCCCTGCTCTTTATTCCCACCATAAGGTTTAGATATCTCTTTTTAACTGTTCGATTTATTCTATTTACAGCCTGCCCAGCGAGCGCACAGTGATCACCCTCAAGGACTGCCAGCTGGCCTTCCGCGATCGCAACCTGATCGGCTCCCATGCCGTCTACTCCATCAACATGGAACGACTCAACATGATGATGCATTAGTTTATTAGTTGTACTTAATTAATATCAGCTCTATGTAGAATTATATACATTATACGCTAGTTTTTGGCTCAGCAAAGTTCCCGTGGTGGTGGCTTAAAGGGCAAGGCACCTTGCATAAACTGTTCCGCCTTGAAGGCTTCGATTTCCTGTTCGTTGAGATCTTCCATGCGACTGTAAACCGAGGATTGGACTTCGCTGGCCATCTGGGCTTGCTGCTGCTGTTGCAACAGTTGCTGTTGCTGTTGCTGCATCATCTGTTGTTGCTGCTGTTGCATTTGCAACTGTTGCTGCTGCTGTTGCTGTTGTTGCTGCTGTTGCATCTGTTGCTGTTGCATTTGTTGCTGTTGGTTTGGAAAACCGGTGGCTGCTGCCTGAGCAAATAATCCGGAAGGAGGTTGCTGCTGCTGTGCCGCCTGGCCAAAGATTCCACCCATATTTGAGTTAGCTGCCTGGCCAAAGATACCCGCCGGTTGAGGTTGCTGCTGCTGTTGGAAGCCACCGAAAGGATTGGGATTCACTGGCTGAACTGGTGCCTGGCCGAAAATGTTGCCTCCTTGGAAGGCTTGAGCGGCAGGCTGTTGTTGTTGCGGTTGCTGTGGCTGCCCAAAGACACTTGTTGCTCCTCCTCCCACAGCTCCTCCGCCAAAAATGCTGTTGCCCGGATTCGCATTCGCCATGCTACCACCAAAAATACTGCCGGCGTTGTTGACTTGATTCGTGGCATTACCGAAGATGTTTCCCGCACTCAAAGTGGGCTTGGCAAAAATGGACGCTGATTGATTGGCCGCCGGAGCAGCTGCAGCAAAGGGATTATTGGGCTGCTGCGGGGCAGCCGACACAGTTCCGCCTTCGGGCGTCTCGTGTATCTTGATCATAATCTCTAGAATCTGCGGCGACATCTGCAGCATGGTCTTCATCTTGTTGGTGGCCTCCATGACCTCGCGATTGAACTGCTGGCCGAATTGTTCGAATTGGTTCTGTCGCTTGGCCTCGTAGCACAGAAAGCGGACCTCCTCGAAGGATTGATCCTCGATGAAGTTGGGGAAATTGGCCTTGTCCTTGAAGGGTCCGTAGGCGGAGAAGGGCCACATCTTGCCATTCAAGCTCGATTCCATGTCGGCTTTGAGGTATTGCCTGAAGATCAAGAGGTTTTATGATACTATGTGGTGGTTCAATCTTCATTTACTCACTTGACATCGAAGTGTTCGTTGTGGCATTTTGTCCCATAGCGGCAAGAACCTTGCTGGAAGAACCGGCACACAACCATCTTGGAATAGATTTATATATCTTTTAAAAAATGCCTAATAAAATTGGGGATATGAAATTAGTACTATCAGCTTCAAAGACAACAAACAAAATTTGCTGTTAAAATACCAAAAGTTAGTATTATGTATTTTAAAGTCCACATGAAAACACATACTGTGTTTATGCCAGGAAATACGTGATATCTACATTAGTTTATGCGAAATATGGCAATTCACGAACTAAACCACATAAAATTAACCGAAAATTGAAATGGCATGCCAAAAAAGAAGGAATATAAAGTCACTTTATCAAAATTAGTGATAATATAGCTTTTTAAATAATAAATCCATGATTTCTTTTTCCGCATAAACGATCCCCGAAAGTATGGTATTTTTTAAGTATATTTTCGAGTCCTCCGGTATATTCCACTCGCCCCAGCGCGGTCCTACCGATTGTGAAATCCGCTTTGATAACGAATTTTAACACCAGAATTATAAGGATTCCATCACAATGCAAAAGGTGTTGGGACGAATCCAGGCGCAGGTGCTGCGCTCCCGGGCCACAAATGCAGTGACCACGGTGGTCAGGCACGAGGCCACCTCCCCCAAAACAGCCCCCAAACCGGCAGCTACATCCAAAGGTAAGCGGTTCTCCCAAAGACATCCAAAGATAATCCATAAAGATTCTGAAAATCCCAACAGAATTCCGGGAGAGACAAGTCCGATTCAACATAAAGAATGAACAGACCGAGGGAAGACCCCTATACCTGGATGCCCAGGCCACAACGCCTATGGATCCACGTGTGCTGGACGCCATGCTGCCCTACCTGACGAACTACTACGGGAATCCCCACTCGCGCACCCACGCCTACGGCTGGGAAACGGAACAGGCGGTGGAGAAGGCTCGCGAGCAGGTGGCCACCTTGATTGGCGCCGATCCCAAGGAGATCGTGTTCACATCCGGCGCCACCGAATCGAATAATATATCCGTAAAGGGGGTGGCCCGGTTCTATGGCACCAAGAAGCGCCATGTGATCACCACCCAGACGGAGCACAAGTGCGTTCTGGACTCTTGCCGGGCGCTGGAAAACGAGGGGTTTAAAGTCACCTACCTGCCGGTGCTGGCCAACGGATTGATTGACCTGCAGCAGCTGGAGGAGACCATAACGCCGGAAACGTCGTTGGTCTCCATTATGACGGTGAACAACGAGATCGGCGTGAAGCAGCCCGTCGATGAGATCGGCAAGCTGTGCCGTTCCCGCAAAGTATTCTTCCACACGGATGCCGCCCAGGCGGTGGGCAAGGTTCCGCTGGACGTGAACGCCATGAACATTGACCTGATGTCCATATCGGGGCATAAAATCTACGGGCCGAAGGGTGTGGGCGCCCTCTATGTGCGACGCAGGCCCAGGGTTCGCCTGGAGCCCATCCAGAGTGGAGGTGGTCAGGAGCGTGGCTTGAGGAGTGGAACTGTTCCTGCTCCGCTGGCCGTGGGATTGGGAGCTGCCGCGGAACTGGCCCTCCGCGAGATGGACTACGACAAGAAGTGGGTGGACTTCCTGTCCAATCGCCTGCTGGACAGGATTTCGAGTGCCTTGCCGCATGTCATCCGGAATGGTGATCCCATAGCCACTTACAATGGCTGCCTGAACTTGTCATTCGCTTATGTAGAGGGCGAATCCCTGCTGATGGCGCTGAAGGATGTGGCCCTGAGCAGCGGTTCCGCCTGCACCTCCGCCTCCCTGGAGCCCTCCTATGTGCTGCGTGCCATTGGCACGGATGAGGATCTGGCCCACAGCTCCATACGCTTCGGCATCGGTCGCTTCACCACCGTCGAGGAGGTGGACTACACGGCAGACAAGTGCATCAAGCATGTGGAGCGTCTGCGCGAGATGTCGCCGCTGTGGGAGATGGTCCAGGAGGGCATCGACCTCAAGACCATCCAGTGGTCGCAGCATTAAATAAAACTAATATGTAAGCCGTTACTGTTACACCACACACTTCGAAAGCGAAGCGAAAAAATAAATTAGTTGGAAGAGTATCTAGGTTTATTTGTACACAAAACCACTTAAAACTAAGCTTAGTCCGAACGAAAATGCTTGTGCAAGAGGTGAGGCAAAAGAGAGACCCCGAAAAAAAGCGAAAAGCGACGGTTAAAGATATGCAAATGATGCAATAATAATTTGCATTCGCCGCTGGTCAAGGTTCAGTTGGCCTTCTTTTTGGCTGCTCCTCCGCCGCCGCCGCCGAGGATCTTGCGGCGCTGGGCGAACATGTGCAGATACAGCTGCGGGAAGATGGGTATATAGCCCAGCATGACGATCCACAGGAAACCGAAGTAGGAGAAGGTCGCATTCCACTTGTTCGGCATCACCACGCTCCACACGCTGTTCTCGCGGGCGTAGCTCTGGGCCCACCAGAAGCACAGCAGCTCCCCGGTGACCCCAATGGGATACAGGACAATGAAGGTGGTGTAGCGCAGGAAGACCACAAAGTGCGGAACCACCTTGACGATATTCAAAGCGTAGTAACCATACCGGATGATCTCGGTGATGGCCCAGGCCAGCAGGGCGATGGGCAGACCGGGCGATACCTTGCCCGTGGGCGTGGCCATCACCACTCCCACGACGACCATCATGCGGCTGAACACCTGGAAGCCAGTGACCACGGGATTCGACTTGACCAGTCCGAACGAAGCATTGAGGATCTCCACGAAGGCGGCGTTCTGGAAGATGATCACGGCCAGCCGCGTGTACTCCCACAGCGTTACCTGCGCCCGGAACTCGGGTCCCTGCAGCAAGTAGTAGTTGACCAGCTGCCAGAGGATGTAGCTCCATCCCACCACCTGGCCGGCGTTGTAGGCGAACAGGTAGAGCTTCGTGACCGCCGATGGCTCCTTGGCGGCGCCTGGCTTGCCGGACTTGACTGCCTTTGCTGACATCTTGGAGCTGCTTGTGAACTTTCACCTCGACGATCGCCGCTGGTTAACTAATCAGTCGTTGGACTTATCGCCCTGTCGCGCGATAATTCCGAAGTCGCTTTCACCTGGTTGGGACAGTGTGACCGCAGTGCGAGCAGCCAAAAAATCCCAAATACACTGGGACACTCGAAATGAAAACGACTTTTCTACACCCTTTACTGAATGAAATAAACTTTATCATAATAAGCTTATTTAACCAAATAGTTTCACCCTATTTGGATGGATATCTATGTTGATTCCAACTTCATAAATACATATTTTTTAAATACAATTAAATAAGTAGATATATTACAAACTGAGTTTAAAACATTTGACAATAGCAAAGGAAGCTATCGAAAGAGTATGAAAACAAGATGTGGCCCCACAACAGATCTAATAAGATCGTTTTTAGGTTCCCCCAATGAAAGCCCCTGGGTACAAAGGTAATACCCTTTACCCGCGTTCATCATATTATGATTATGGTTTTAGAAAAACGTTTTTAATGGTAGGAATGTAAGTACACATTTATGTACATAAACAGGGCAATTAACTTTGTAAGCACTGAATGTATACTCTAGCTTAAAGTCCAGACTTATTCATTTGTTCATTAAAAAATTGTTAACTTAAATCTTAATTAAAGGTATTGTATCTAAAAAATGTTTATCAATTACAATATTGGACAATTGTTGGAATAGCAGAAATTTCAAATCTTCATGAGAGTAGAATTTATATTGATGTAAATTTTACATTAATATAGGGGAGAGTGGGGGAATTTCGTCAGCAATTTTTCAAAGCTATTTTTTGACCATCTTGAGACACGTTATCATATTTCTATTTTTATTGTTGAATGCGGTTAGCACCAAGCTTTAAACTGTGACATTCCCCTATTTTTTTAATTACCTTGGTGATTTATAAAAAAATAAAATGTAAAACCAATATACTGGGGAAATCTCGCCACACAGGGGGGTAAAATCACCACACCACCGGGGCAATTTCGTCACCTGAAAAATGTTGGGAGTTTAACGCCTGTAAATATGCTACACTGATCAAGCGTACCATTTTTGTTGACGTCCTATATTTGTTGCTGCTGCTGGTAGTCTGTTCGTTAGCCAGCTCGTCAAATATAAAAATATGTATTTAAAATAGGTGCGACCTTACCCTTAGCGTAGGGTGGCGAAATTTCCTCAGACAGTACTTTTTTAGAAATAATTATTTTTCTTCCGAAATTAGGCGCGAAGTTAAAAATCACTGACGCAGAAATGCACATTATACCACTGTGTATTATATAAAAAAACGTGTATCTTATTCCTTTTGAATTGTGGCATACAGAAAAAATTTCGTCGAGAACTAAATGTAGCTTTTGAACTGTTAAAACACATTTAATATTATAGCTTAATTATCTTGGCCTTCTGTGCAAAACAAATGCATTGGTTGTGTCTGGCCGTCTTGAAGGACTAAAACAAAAAAATTATATATTTTTACGACTTATGGATTCCGAGATATTGCAGGTGACGAAATTGCCCCTGTGACGAAATTCCCCCACTCTCCCCTACATTGTAAAAACATAAGATCTGGTACGAATTCGGCACCTTGGAACCCCCATATATTTACCAATAGGAAGGGCAAAAAGTACTTGAGAATATCGCCTGTTCGCAGGGCTAAGTATTGAAAGATAAGCAAGACAATAAACAAATAAAATTACAAAATGGTATATATACATACATACATTATACACATATGAGCTGCTTATCGTACCCATTCGGCCCACCCGTAAGCACTTTGAATTTTGATCAAAATGTACTATAATCCACCCCACTGTAGGCGGCAGCTGATGTTTTTCAGCGAGCGACGGCCGGTTTGTGCGATGAGCCAGCAGGCCAACTGATTTTCCTGTTCGCCTGGTGGAAACCGAACCGAAAACCGAACGTGTCTGAAAAAGTCCGCCACCACCACGGGCCGGTGCACGTCCCCACCTGCCAGATCGCGTGTGTGTGGGGCGATTTCGTTCCCCAGGCCGTCGAGTGGAGCGAATCGCTTGTCGCCGTTGTCGAATTTCGTTGTGACTGTGAATCGCTGTGAATCGCAGCGCAGCGCAGGCAATCGGAATTGGAACTTTTGTTCCGAAAGCATCGGCACGTGCTATGTGGGCGGAGGCCCGCAACCACGCCTACCGTGCGAATTAATTTGCTGCCGCTGATGCCGTTGCCTTTGCCGTTGCTGCCCATTTAACGCAAATTACTAACTACTCCCCTAAAAGCCGACGCCTTATCAACTTGCCCGCCTTATCAGCAATCGCTGCCCCGGACTCGTTGGACGGGCGGAGCGGTAATTCCGACAGAGCAGCGCCCACAAAGGCCGATTGGACAAAATTGGAAAAACGAGAACCCCGCCAAAAGTGAATTCCCTCTTTTTCACCAGGCTCGCAGAACGAGAAGGATGTCGAAATGACTGGGAATTCAAGCAGAGCGGTGTTCGCTCGAGTGCGAGCGAGACGACGATAGTGTCGCAATGGCAGGGGTTTTCAATGTGACTGGTCGCCGGTGTGTGCGCGTGTTTGTGTGAGCAAAGAAATTGCCAAAGCTGACAAATTGCGGCAGTTTAAGGCTAAAACTAGTGATTACTGCGAAACTCTTTAAGTTGAGCAAACAATTCTGCTGCTCTCTCTTTCGCTCTAGAGTTATTTTCCCTTTTTTTGTTTAGTTTAAGAAGGGCAATCAAATCAAAGTGACTCTGGTTCAATGGGTGGCTAACAGAGGGCGCCACACATATAACCCCGCGGCATGAAAGGCAAGAAAAACCCAATGCTACACGCCCACAAATGCGAGCCCTGCGCACACACCCGCCCCTCTAGCCGTCTCGCTCTCTTCTCCCCTGTAAGCGGAGAAAAAGAAACGAAACACGAAAAACATTGTTTGTTTGAAGCGCAATTTCTAATGCAAACAGTCGCTGTGTCTCGTCGCCCCTGCAATCGCAATCGCTCGAACATTTTGCTCAATTTTGAGCAGTCATTTTGTTTGCTCACATCACAGGCCAACAGAAAACAGAAAATTGCCCCCAAACGCGCTTGTTCGCCGGCTGTTCTACGACTGGTATGGTATGTTATGGCATAGACTATAAACTATGGTATATGGGGGGCTATTCGGTATTCGGTATTCGCGATAAGATGGCGCGGGCCTAGAAACTGCATGATGGCGGCGGTGGAGCAAAAGCAAACCATGTAGAGCGCCATCGGCGGAAGTTGCGGGCGCCCACTCCGGCCGGACATTTTGTTTTGTGCCCGTCATTTTGCTTATTGCACAAATTTCTACTGGGCCCGCAGCAAAATATACAGCATTCGCCTCTGCCATTAAGCGCCAAAATCGAAAACTATCGCCTAACACCGCCGATTAACTAACAGCCAAAAGGCAAAGAAGCGGACTAAAAGCGTCCATTATTGTGGGCGTTCAACGTTTTCCCACATGAATCTTAACAGGCAAGCAGCATTGCCTGCACATCTCAACGAAAAAAACAAGAAAAAAAAAAAGAGCCAACTATTTATTTGCCTTGCCTGTGTGAGTGGCTTCAAGGCAAAAGAAGAAGCATCTGAAAAGGGGGAATGGCTGTTTTTTGGGGGGAGCGGAAACCAGTTTGTGTGTCGACTGCTGGCGCTGCTCCAAGAGTCCGCCGGCGATTCTGCTTCGACGGCCAGTTGACCAGTGGCCAGCTTTTGATGTTTGCCTTGGCTTTTTTTTACGGCCAGCAACCCTACTGCTCCATTCGGGAGCTGCTTAACAGGCGCACATTAGGTGGGCAAAAAAATAAAAAGTAACTGGTAGTTTGGTTAAATAATTAATAACCTCTTTTAGCAACAGAAATATCTGGAAATAATTCCCTTAATTAATATTTCATTTGTTTACTCGTTTAGTTAGGAATAAAATATAGAATAATTAAATTATTTTAAGATTTTTCTATTGTTAAAAGCGGTAATTCAACGTAAAACTTATAGTAATTAAATAGTAACTGTTAGTTTTGTTAAATAATTAGGTTTACGATGTACATATTACCTCTTTTAGCAGAAAAATCTGAAAATAATTCCCCCTATTAATATTGTATATTTTTACTCGTTTAGTTAATTATAAAATAAGATATCTTTAGTTAAGCGGAATAAAATTGTAATAGTAATTTCTAACCATTTTTATTACTAAAAATTCACCACCAAAAATGATCTAAACATCAATATCTCACCAAGATAACCTCCATCTTACCTTGAACTTCAGCAGCTTATGGCCTGTGAGCCTTGAGAACAGCCTTGAACCAAATACGCTCCAAACAAAGGGCCAGTTAAAGTGGCCATGACACCGGCGACGCTCTAAATTACTTCATGCCTGGCCTTTTTGGACGAGTGCCAAGTTGAGTCAACTGAACGGGGATCCAAACCCCTGGAGAATAACCCCCCACCCATCCATTCAAAGGGAGCCACTGGCCAGTCGACTGGGAGACCACGCCCTGGCCGAGCACAAATGGGAACTTGGGGAACATCGAGTGGATTTGATTTGCGCCGCCGACAGCGATGACGCCAATGCCGGGGCGTCGTCCACTTGTTCTGCGATCGTGCGCCCCTGTTACCGAAACTGGATTTTGGGGCCTGACTGACCGCACTATCGAGTGCCGGGACGGACAAGCGAGGCGTTGACACTTGCCAATGTACCAATCAACCATCGAAGTGAACTGAAACTGAAAATGAAACTGAACCATTGCACCACCGACCGCCACAGCCACACCCACTTGGGTGGTTGGTTGACTGTGGTTAGTTATTTCGTCGGCAATTAGCGAATAACCTTAACCTTAGCTTCCAAAAAAGCTCAAATCAAAACCTGTGCTATGAGGCGCCCAAAAGTGTTTAGCTGGTGGCCGGGCCACCCGAAATACAGCGTTGAGGAAAATCCGGCGAGAGTTCATTTAACCCGCCGCCACGCATCGAGTGAATATTTCCGCCTATCAACCCCCCTTTAACCCCCGCTGCCCCGAAAAGAAACTTGTTTCGTCGCATCTCAATGCCACTTGGAGATTATACACGACGAGCTGCTTATGTCATCGACACAACCCAACCCCCCTCCCCATTCCCATC